TCTACTGCTAGTATTGTCTCCTCACAGATCAATGACTTTACTAAATCTTTTTAAAGCACTATCGATCAAAAGAGCTCTGTTTCATCTATAATTTGTTCTGACTAATCCGTCAAAGGGCAGTAGATATGACAAGCAATTTTCCTCTATCAAATCAATTACAAAGCATGGACTGTTCATTTACTTTTTGTGGTATACTTATTAAAGTTAATTAACCCTCAAATATTTTAAAATTTCATAGTTTTCGGAATTGCACAAGATCATGCTTTCTCTGACTGTTTATGACATCTTTACACTAAACCCAATGGATGTGTACTGATTGATATTTTAGTCTAGATAAAAGATTTATTTATTAGGTGGCATTGGCTTTGACCTAGCTTTCAGTAACTGCACGTAGTATCAGATCTGTAATTTTGTTAGCTGTTTTTGCATGTTTTGAGTCAATCTGATGAGTAAATATAAAAAAGAAGATGTGGTATGAAAGTCTTTTTCAACTGATTACTGTGGATTCATTAATATTCGTTGGATACCAATTTTCGTGGATTTCGTGGGTACAGGGGAACCACGAATTTAAATGTTCAATGAATTACAAATTTCCTAAATGAAATATGCAGACTTTGCCGAAACCACGAAATTAAATATCCACGAAAATGCAAGTTTTCTTCAATCCACGAAAATTGGTATCCACGAAAATAAATGAATCCACAGTAATACAGTTTTATCTTCTGTTGTGCTGTAACACCAAAGTCCCAGGTCAGTATGTCATTTATTAAGTAAGATGGAATCTATCTCTGATCAGCTTGATAGGCATGGCAAACATGAGACTTAGAAAATAAAATATTGACAAAACTCAGCTTATAAAAATTCAGTTGTCATGTGAAGAACAAAGATTTTCACAGATACAATTATATTTTGTCCTCTTGCATAACACAATTTCCAAAACAGGATGCTAAGATTTCATTTGTTACTAACCGTCACATTAAAGTAACAAAAATAAAAAAATATAAACATATTTGAGTATAGGAAGACTAACTTATCGATTTTTTAGACACATATTGAGTTCTCAGATATAACATGTACATCCTGTGGTATTGAAAATCAAAAAGGTAAATCAATCTGTTTTTATAACACCAGAAACTGTGCATTCAGTTCAGTGACTGGAAACTATATGCTGTACAGGCCTTTGACATTTTCAATGGTTAAGATGGTAAAAATTTGAGCAACATCAAATCAGATTTAATATTACAATTAACAGACCCCATTAGACATGTAAAAACTAAACTATATATCACTGATTAGGGTAAATCATGGTTTCCAAAAAAGATTTTGGCCAAGGACACTTAGGAGTAGTGTTATTCTATTTATAATATTTCTACAAAAAATCCATGGCCATAAAATCAACTTAGTAAAACCATAGAAAAAAAATGTTCAAATGATACTGATGATAATTTTTTTTTTAAAGCTATGAAAATAAATTCGGGATGTCTCCATTGGACACAGATGATGCGCCCGCTTACATATAACTTTATAAAGAGACATAACTAAAGAACTGTAAAAGTGACGCTACCCAAATTTGTACTTGATCTGAGTTTTGTTGTAATAAGCATTGTTTATAAGTTTCATAACATTTAGTTGAGGCAAACTAATGAAAGAGAACGGAAACCAATTTGGGACGTACAGACAGATGGACAGACGTACAGATGGAAGGGTAAAAATTAATGCCCCAAAGAAGCATTCAATTCTTATGTTACATTTTTATGCCAGATTTTTCATTTTTTAAAGGGGCATAACTCTAGAAGAGTAAAAGTGACGCCACCAAAATTCGAACTTGATCTGTGTTTTGTGGTAATTAGCATTGTGTATTAGTTTCATAACATTTGGTTGAGGCAAACTAAAGTTAGAGAACAGAAACGAATATTTCAGCAATTTTTCCATTTGTAAAGGGGCATAACTCTAGAACAGTAAAAGTGACGCCACCAAATTCAAACTTGATCTGTATTTTGTGATTATAAGCATTGTGTATAAGTTTCATAACATTTGGTTGAGGCAAACTAAAGTTAGAGAACAGAAACGAATATTTCAGCAATTTTTCCATTTGTAAAGGGGCATAACTCCAGAACAGTAAAAGTGACGCCACCAAATTCGAACTTGATCTGTGTTTTGTGGCAATAGGCATTGTGTATAAGTTTCATAACATTTGGTTGAGGCAAACTTAAGTTAGAGAATGGAAACCAATTTTGGGACGTACGGATGGACGTATGTACAGACAGACAAGGGTAAAACTTAATGCCCCCTTCGCTACGGCGGGAGCATAAAAAATCTTTTTTGAAATAAATATACCCTGATGTTAAGAGAAGAGAAAAGCAGTGTTCCAAACATGAAATCTGACAACTTGTCAATCAATATTATATAACTCAGTAGTTTAAATGTCTTCATTTATCCAGCACAGGACTTACAGGATGCCTCAACACACCCACACACAATGACAAATAATTCAACAATCTGAAAATCGCAAAGATTTTTTTATTTTCAGAAATGAAAATACAAATAAGATTATTGATTCTCCAATTCAATGAAAAAATCTAAATGTCAAACGTTTTTGATTCCTGACAAACAAACATCATGAACATAGTGACAGGAGTATGACATTTAGATACAATATCCTGATCCATTATTAGACAGAATGTCATTGGTATGAACAGATAAAAAGAGGTCACAATTACGGCATACTCTGTTATTGGAACTATGTAATGCTGCTCATTGTCACTGGGAGAAGACTTCATAAATTCCACTGTTTGTTGTGTCTGATCCTATTTGTGATTTTTTAGCATATTAAATGATCATAAATAAAATTGAGATATACTGTCAACTATTGATCACTAATGATACTCCTACTACAATCATTTAGTTATCTGCAAGTTAACGAGCAATAGATGTGAAAATGGATATAGCATGCTCAAATGAAGCTTCATACCAAGTTTTAAGAAGCTCCGATTTGTAGTTCCCAATGAAAATTTCATACATTACAATCATGTGTTAGAATATAGAATTCGGTAAACAGGAAGCTAATGACCAAATGATGTGAAAAGACATTTAACAGTATATATATGGTATATATGTGTTTGATTCAATTGCAGTAGGTTTAGGCTTTGTCTGCTTGGAGACAGAATGTGTATGGGTAGGGCGCTATGTCTTCCTGCAGACTGTATCCTTGTTAACAAGCACGTTAATCGTTCCTGATGAGCTTGTTGGTCTAGTAAAAAGCAGAGTTCATGTATACATATCAAATCATTTTCTCTTCCTGATATGCATGAAACATTTGCCACTGTACATTAAACATCGATCCTTCTAATTATTTAAGTTCATTGATGTATAAAAGATGTATACCCCAAATCTCCCTTTATTCATAGTTTGTGTTATTATGTCAAGGATTTGTAAGCAGCAAATGATTTTTGTCAGAAAGCTAAAATAAATGATGAGATAATGATATTTTGATATGTGGGGAGTAATTTGTCATTTTTTGATTAGTTTACCAGCTTTACTCATTCATTTTATTATCTGTCCAACTTTTCCAAATACTATTCCCAAATGAACATTAATCTTGTATTCAATTTCATTTAAAAATTATTGTCTGTACAATTCATTCCAATGGTGTGTGTATTGTATCATGACTTAATCCTGACAATCTATACATGTCTATTAATAACTATTTGATAAATAGACATTTCTACCATGCTATTTACATTACAATTAAGCACTATATTTGCTACTTGTTTGCATTCTCTGTAAGGTCAAATATTACAACAGTAATAAAAGAACAGAGTTCCAATGTCCCCAGCATTGCACATATTTTATATTTGGAAGGGGCATAACTCTTTTAAAAAAAGTCAATCAGCCCACCATTATAAAACTTGTCCGAGATATTGCTGATATTAACCTATAGTATAAGTTTTATATAAATCTGGCAAGTATTGTACCCGTGAGAGCGCTAACGAGGCCATTTTCCATAAATTTAATATTTCCAAGGGGCATAACTCTTTTAGAAAAGTTGATCGGCCCACCATTAGAGAGCTTGTCCCTGATATTGCTGATATTAACCTATAGTATAAGTTTTATAAAAATCTGGCAAGAATTGTACCTGTGAGAGCACTAACAAGACCAGATGGACGGACGCCCGGTATTTCCATTGTCCCCAGCAATGCCTTACGCGGGGGACAAAAATCTTATAAGCTCTGTGGGAGGGGTTGAAAAATGCACTCCATATCTAAACTTAACAAAAAGTTTCTAGAAGTATTAACCTATATCTAGGTCAATGGATCATCAAATGTATCTCAGTGACCTACTTTTTGAAGGAGGTTGATAAAACTTTGTGGACGGTTCATTCCATCTTTATATTATTGTAAGTCAGTATCTGAGAACGGAACTAAATTTGTAACTTACAAAAATGCACATGGACGCCTTTGATAAGTTAACATCCTAAAATTGTTGAGGCAGACTATAAATGATCTATTTTACTGTATTATCAAGTATTTCCATGTATAATATAATTATCTCTGAATATTTTGTCCTTAAATCATAGTTTACTCCAAGCATTGACATTTTTTCCTTAATTACTGATGTTAATACATAAAAACAAAATAAATAGAACTCCAATTATTTAAATTTCAAGCCATTATAAAGCAGAATTGAACATGACTCGAGTAACAATAAAAAATGATTGATCCATCTCATTTTGACTATCAAGATATATGTCAAGTCTAACAAAAACACACACATTCAATTGAGAAGGCAGAAGTAAAACCATTTATATTTGAACCGATTTTTTCATTTTGTCTGTAGCAAATAGAACAGCAGAGGGATTTCTGTATGTCCATTGCTTCACTGCAACTACGTAAGACAAATTAATTCATATAAACTTCCTACAGTTAACAGAACATTTCAATGTACCAAATACTATATATAAATTTCCTACAGTATATCAAAGTTTTATTGTAGATACATACCATATTTTACTTGACAAATATCTCCTACTACTAAATCTCCTACAGGAATATGCATATCTTTGCTTCCACGAATCACAGAAAATTGATGTTCATGTTCTATTTTACTTTGCAGTCCACGGAATTGTTGTTCTTTTCTATAGTCATTGAATGCTGTTACTAATACTACAACTATAACGGCTCCTAAAATTGCTACTCCTTCTATCCATCCTGCCTCTTGTTCTGAATCACCCCCTAAAATTAATTAAAAGTAGGTATACACTTGTCATACCTGACATCAAATAATTGTCATAAATTGTGCAATAATAAGGGCCTTATATCTGCCATTTTAATTATGGGCTGCACAACATCAAGGGGCAAATTTTTCTTAAGAATGAATGCTTCTTTTTGTTATTTTAATGGGATGTAAAAGCGCTGAACGAAGCACATTTTATATGAAGCAAAGAAGTGCTCCATTCTAAAAATGTGTGCATCACAAATGCTTTTACAACCATATAAAATTCTGCAATTTTTCCATTTGTAAAGGGGCATAAGTCTAGAACGGTAAAAGTGACGCCACCAAAATTCAAACTTGATCTGTGTTTTGTAGTAATAAGCATAGTGTATAAGATTCATAACATTTGGTTGAGGCAAACTTAAGTTAGAGAACGGGAAAGAAAAATTCAGCATTTTTTTATTTGTAAAGGGGCATAACTCTAGAAAGGTAAAAGTAATGCCACCCAAATTCAAAATTGATCTGTGTTTTGTGGTAATTAGCATTGTGAATAAGTTTCATAACATTTAGTTGAGGCAAACTAATGAAAGAGAATGGAAACCAATTTGTGACGTACGGACAGATGGACAGACGTACAGATGGAAGGGTAAAACTTAATGCCCCAAAGAAGCATTCAATTCTTATGTTATATTTTTATGCTGAACCATGAAATATTGGGATACCGGTAAATCTATTTTTCTTTTGTTATCCTATGCATTGTTGTAACATTGCCATTGGGAGAAAATGCAGTCATGAATGTTGCATTTCATTAGGAAATATGATATAATTTTAGAATGCCTAGCAATTGTTGTCTGGCAATCAAAATTATGGATATTCATGAAACATCATTATAATGTAATTATATAATCATCAAGGATAACAACATGTCCTGGTTAATCAAACATCACGATTAATGTCAAATCTGTCATCAATTAATATAAATGTAGTTCTTTGCAACTTCTATTCAAATAACCAAAACTTGCACAAGATGTCATGCAAAGTATACCCTACATTGTCATTGACAAAAACTCCCTGCCAAGTGCAAGAATGGATACAATAAAAACTCTACATTAAGTCAAATAGTGCCTTCATGTCAGATCTACACAGTACAACTCAACATTATAAAGTTCCAGACCAAATATCAAAGCAACCCTTAATGTAGAAGGGACAGACAGCAAGAGGATGGACAGACCAATGAAAGACAAAAGTTATTTCAGTATACCACCCAACCCGTGAGGGAGGTTATAAAATGATTTCATTTGAAATAATGTGACGAATATTTAACTTTTTTTCTTTTACCTAAATATTTGTGTTTGATAATTTAAAGGGTAATCGAAAAAACATCTCTTGAAAATGGATTTTTTTAAGTAGTTCAGGTCATGCAACAATAGACTTTTAAATGAATTTTGAAACAGAGTATAAAAATGACACTATATGAAGTAATAAAAGCAATGTATAGACAGAAGAAAATCGTTTTCGTTGCATATAATGATGATATTGATAATTTTTGTGACGTCACTAGACTAAGATTGTGATGGTGTATTGATGATGACTTCAGTCATTAATTATTTAAAGGGTTTTACATATATTACTAGCTGTGATAAGAATAAACCTATCAATAAACAGGCTGTGTGACAGACTCTGGGCTTAGTGAACAGTTATTGTTTAATGACTATTTATAAATGGCAGTCAGGTTCAATAGTGAAAGGAACTAGAGTGAACAGAAATTTGTTTTTGTAGCCTTCTGTTACCTGGTCTCCATTACAGCAACATTAACTGCAGCTTTGGACTTCAAAGTCTCTTCTGATTAAATATGACAATATTATACCATATCACTATTTCTAAATCGATCTTTTCTTTTATTACATTTATCATAGCTTATCCACTCACACAGTGTTACACAGCTTCTGTTTTATTGAAAGATTTGATATATGGTCTGGAACATTATAACATTGAGATGTTCAATGCTAGTGATTTTTAGACCTGCCAAGCTGTCAATTCCTGTTTGACAATACTTTAAATTTTTATTGTACTCAATGAGCATGACATGAAATAAAGTATGTGGGGTATACTTTGCATGTAATTGCATGTAACTTCTTGGTGGATATCTGATAATTGACTTATTATGAGTAGTTAATTCCTTGTTCACAATGTTCAAATGAACTTAACCTTTTAAAATACAATTTTATAAAAAGACCTTCATTTGTTCAAGGAAGGCAATTTACAAAAATAGAAAAATATTCCTCTGGACTTCAATACCTGTAGCGTAAAATATATGATGTCGTATCTGATTGAGTACTATTTTAGATTTATAGTAAACAGTGCTTTGCTATAGAAATAACCGAGAAGCACTCCTGCCATATTTCATTATTTAAACTGCCAAATTAAACAAAGAAAATAAGATTACATCAAGGTGAATCGTTGATTCAATTTGCTTTAAAAGCCTTGTTGAATAATTACAAATCTGAGCTGATGAAGACTAGGAACACATATTGATTCTACCTTACGTTTTTCACACAACAGCAACTTAATTTTCAGCTGATCGAACCATCAGTTACAATATGATTAACAAACTGGATACAGATCTAACACGATTGCTTCTCATCGAACAGATATTAATTGATACTGAATATTGTTAATGTCGGGACTGCCATCTCTCTCCCGCTGTTGTTTTGGAAGCAGACATTAGAATTTTTTCATTCGTTACTTCAATTGATTGACATTTTATTTCTGGATGCATTTCTATTGATTTGTGTTTTACATATATACCGTGCAGATTTTCCAAGTTTCATGTTGTTACGGGGAATTTCCATCAATAATGTTAATGTGTTAGTTAATGTGGTAAAGATTTGAATATGCTACAATACATTTGACGTGAGGGATCCTCCCTAGAGCAATCCAACTCAAAATAAGATCAAATTCTATTATATTCAAAGTACTTTCAATTTTCTGTCTATCAAGGGAAAGAATTAAAAATATATGGCAACAATTTTCAACATGGAAAAGCAATCTCCTTTCTAGTGTCAGTTTGAGTGTAATAATGATTAAGAAAGTTGTGAATATAGTTTTAATGGCACTAAAGTTCTTTATTTTTGGAGTCTGTTGGATTCAAGAGTTTCTGGTTGGAACAGTACATATGCACTTTTATTTCTCTGTCAGATGTACATTGCAGACTAAACTGTATACAATGTAAACAACTTCGTAAACCTTAATAATATTCTTTTCACAATTTTCCCCCCCTTCATTTCAGCAAAATAGTAAATTTCTTTCTATGAAGACTTGTTCTGTCAATTACTTGCATGGCTACAAAAACATGGAAACCAGTGATGGATGTAGGAAATTCATTAAAAGATTAAGGTGGTCAGCATATCAAAATGTAGAATATATTCTTATAGTTTTAAGTTTACAAGAGTTCATCTTGTTGAAATGAACGACTGACCGGTGCAGATGTACTTACCATCTCCTCCGTCATCTCCTGCAGGATAAAATGATAAACCTATAGTAACTAATGCAGCAATTAATAAAATAATTAAAGTCACATCCTGAAGTGCTTCCCACACTAACTGTAAAAATGTCTTTGGAGGTTTAGGTGGTATAACATTAGAACCAAAACACTTTATTCTATCTTCTAAATCAGCTGGTGCTCCTGATAATCCTGAAAACAAACAAACAAATATTTAAAATATGTATATTCAAAGATTCAGTTATGTAAAACAAGAATATGTGTTTATAGACACCATACCCTGTTCACATAATCATGTTTCCATGTTGAGTGATCCCTTATTCTGGGTCAAAACCCTAGTTTGCCATGTAATCTATAAAGTTAACATTATAGTGAATATGTGCACATACTTTCAAGTTGATGTTGCAACTACCTCAGACCAAAACTTTAACCTACCTTATACCAAATCTTTAATCTGTTCAGTGATTGGTGAAATCTAGGTCAAAACATTGCTTTTGCATATATTGTAAGAACTTCACATCATAATGAACATGAATACTAAGTTTCAAGAAGACATGACCTCAACTTCATGGTAAACTATATTAAAACCAAACTTTAACCAGATATCAAAAGGGTGGACAGCTTGACATACTGGAAAACACAATCATAAGTAGGCATAAAAAGTGAAAAGAGTGATGTTTAAAATGAGGATCTCTGCCAACTGAAGGCTGGTAGACAAGACCTTTTTAGGACACTGGGCTGTTCGCTTACTCTGGGATTTCATGTGGAAATTAAAATAAAAATCAAGGAATTGTATATTCTAAACTGAAGATTTCTTCAATTTTGTATTTACTCTTATGATAAAGTTATTTCCTAAAAGGATAATTATACTATAAAAGGGAAGCAACTCTTACAAAACTTATCAAATAAAAAGACACATTGATGAATCATAAAATTAACAAACTATTAATCTAACATTAATCTACAATATGACACTCTATAAAGAATAAATACCTATTAATTTCCCCATTAATAAAACATGCACATTGTATTATGCTTTTAAAATATCAATCTGATAATTAATCTGATTAACGTGACTATATTACTATGGTGAGAGGGCGAGAAATGTCATATCGTATTTTTCCACCATCCAAAGTCCATTAATCAAGCAATGGAATTAACCCTGGTTTATAACAATTCAAAATTGATGTCCTGCAATTCAACCAAGTGTAAACTAAGACTTTCTTGATGGGAAAAGTAGGAAACATTTTGATGTAAATGAAGTGATTTATTCTGTGGAATCCTCAACTTCCCTCCCTTGAGATCGCAGATTTTTTTCATTGTGACATAAAAATCAATAGCCATGATTAGCCTGACAATAATTGTCTGAAGAAACTGTTATAAATATATCACACAGAACTAAAATCAGATCTACAAGCTATTTAAAAGTAGTGCGACAGACTTCCACAAAAAGACTAAAGTAGTCATTCAAATATGAATAATGGCATTGTTATATAATTATATACTAGGAACTGATTTAATATATGTAGGCTTAATACAACTTGAGAAAGCATCAGCAGCCTATAAGATTTACATATGAAACAGATTCATCTTTTAGCTAGCTACATTAGTTGATATAAGGATTATTCTGCCAGTTTTAATACACCTAGATTTTTTTTCATGAATTGCCTTGTCCTAAAAAAAAAAAAAAAAAATTCTGAAGGACATTTAACTGTCTTGAAGTTGCGAAAATAAGTTGGTTTACATTCAGTAACACTTTTGAAGGACATTTTTATTTAGGAGATAACAGATTGTATTTGAAGATTTGTGGGCATCAATTGGCAATTTGATGGTGGGAAATTGAGTATACTGGCCACACTGCAAACTGGCAAATCTTCAAACACAGCACTTTTATCACAACTGAATGAAAACACCAAGCAAACATTTTAAAATCAGTTAAAAATTGTCTGGGCTGGCATATAAAATTTTAGACCATCAATTATAGAATTAATGCCCTTCTATTTGTGGCATCATTCAATCCAAATCACAATGAACATCACAGTCAGTGTTGCATTAGAAATTCGGTTTAACTTTACAATCTAACACAGTAACAAAGTACATTGGAAGAACATTCAAGTATTAAAGATATTCTTGTGTGAATAAAAGAGGGGAGGTGGTGTGCATCAATAAAATAGCAACCCACCAAAACCAAACAAAAAACAAAAAAAGAGAATGCCCTTAATATTCTGTATGAATTTTTATCTTTGTAAGTATAAATCATATGATATCCAAATATAATGAAATGAAGTTTGAATCATGGAGTATTTATTCCAATATTGATTTTCTGTCTTATAACAGGGAACTTCAAACCTTTCCTTATCTAATCAAACTGGCATTGCACATTCTCAACAGTCAAATCATTCAAACTCGATTAGAATTTTGTCATCAACATCATTAAGGCATAGCATATGACCTACATATAACTTGATTCTAATAAGCAGCAATGTTCCCAAGCATACTAAGAAGCCACTTTAACAAATGAAATATAACACAGAAAACTAGGTGTAAAGAGATGACATGAATACCCCTACTTCCAGAATCATTAAGAATTTCATATTTAAATAAAGACATGCTGAATGAACAACAAAAAAATCATTATACACAAATAAACCCAGTACAACCACAATGAAATTTTCTAATTCCAGCTGGCAAGGGCTGAAATTCTATGAAAAAGAGGCGAAAGATAACAAAGGGACATTCAAACTCATAATTTGAAAATAAACTGACAACGCCATGACTAAAAAAGAAAAAGACCAACAGAAAAATAACAGTACACAAAACACAACATAGAAAACTAAAGACTAAGTAACACAAACCCTACCAAAAACTAGGGGTGACCTCTGGTGCCCGGAAGGGTAAGCAGATCCTGCTTCACATGTGGCAACCTTTTGTGTTTCTCATGTAAGTACAAACCCGGTGACAAGTCTAATTCGGTAGGTCACATTCGGGGGAAAAGGAACAGGATTGTAATTACGACAATTGGAACATATCCGTTGTCATGTGTGAAACATATATTCCATAACAGTCAACCAACTCGTGATGGCATCTGTAAAATTTACGAAGGGATGATTTCAACTTCACCACTTGGAACTCTTGGTTTAATAGCTTCCTTGTGAGCAGCAACCCTCTATCAAGGAAATCATGATACTTTTTGATAGGAAATACCAGCCCTGGAATATCCTATCAAGTGGGAGATGTATACTCTGTATGCAGGCATATTTTGCTATGTATAAGAAATGGAAAGTTCACAATTGGGAAGCTAAAATCATCTCTTTTGTCGTAAAGTTTTGTTGTCAACCGACCCTCATTGTCAATTTCTAGATGTAAGTCAAGATATGAGGCAGACTTAACTGTATTTGTTGCATCCTTAATCTCAAGTTCGATGGGATTGATGCATTCAACATAGTCACCAAATTTTGAACAGGTAAAACTGTGAGCTACTGCTCACTGATGATACCCCCGCCGTAATATTTCGGTAAACAGGAAGTTGTTTCTGAAAACGCATCATACGGTAGTGCTGACTTATATAAACCCTGAAACCAAATTTCAGAAATCCTTGTCAAGCAGTTCCTGAGAAAAATATGACAAACATTTTCAACTTGGCTATCATGTGTAAAATAATACAAGTGTTCGGTAAACAGGAAGTTGTTGAGTGATGAATCTGAAAACGCATCACATGGTGTAACTTACTTATATAAACCCTGAAACCAAATTTCAGAAATCCTTGTCAAGAAGTTCCTGAGACTTAGATCTGTAATTATTTACAGGCATAACGTAATATCATCCAGACGACGGTTGGATTTCAGAATGATTGTGGATATAACAGATTCAGAATGTCAGAAAATGGACACAGAGTGGCATTCCATGAAAATAAAGTAATCTTAAATGAACCACAACTTTTATCTGCAAACTTATCATTCATTATAAAAGAAAGAGACAAAAATCAACAAAAGGTAAACTCAATCTTTAACAAACTTTTGTACACTTCTAATCCAAAAGTCAACTCAATATAACAGAAACAAGGGTAAAACTTAATGCCCCCTCCGCTACGGTGGGGGCATAAAAATCCAGACAACTTATAGATCTGGGAATCATGGAAGGACAAACAATAAACAGCTTCTATTCCACACACCAATATTGCAGCTTTTTCAAATAGCAATAATAATTCATGATTTGTGGATGCTTTATATTATATATTATATTGCATATATTTTAGGGTCAGTAACTTTTAAATGTCATGTGAATACTCCTAGTAGACATACCATGATGTAGATTTTTATCTTTCTATCTTACAAGGTAATTGTCCAGAGGAAGACATGTCATCCTACCCAGACACATTATTGTGAAATAAAGCTGAAATGTTTCCCCACTTTTGATCCTACTCCTGAATTTTTATGTGCTAACAACTTAACCAGGGAAGCAGCAAATAACAATTTCACAGTCTTTTGTAGATTGATTTCGGAATGAACTCATGACCTCAGTCATAATTCAAATGTTGATGCTCAATGGTGACATGCCATCATTTCAAGACAAGCTACAGCAATAAGAAATATTCTCTAATTAAATCTGCAATATTTACACATTACTCTTAATTCTCCATACATATTTAATGTATTCTCACCTTCATTAGGTGAAGTAAATAATAAATTACAGATTTCTATAACACTGCCATATTTGCTTTGTATATGTTCTACAGCTTCTAATCCTTTTTGTTCGTTAATTGTTCGTAGATCTGGTATGCTTATTCCATAATTTCCATCTCTACAACGAGATGGACCAAGGCCATCCTGCTCATCACCTGCCATAATTCTGATTATGTCTTCAGCTTATTTGTCTGAAAATAGAAAAAGGTAAAATTTAAGATGAGATCAACCATGATTTATCACAGTATTCATCAGAATACAATAATTATGCAGTATTCTTGCAGTATAGCTTCAAATTTTGGATCTTATGAAAATTTAGTACTTTTAACAGCTTTTAAAATACTGTAAATTCAAAAATTATTGTGGACATTATTATTATTGCTATTGTTAGACAATTAACATCAATAGGAGTTTAAATATTGTGATTTCAGGAAATGCTAAATACAAATAATGCTATCACAAGTTAAAAGTTTTTATTTTTGCCATATCTTTTTACAAGTTTCACAATGATAAAAACATGGCAAAACTTTCAGAATTAACAGTATATGCTTTATACTAACTTGGGGCTCTTGCATGACTGCTTGGTGTCTTTAGCAATATTAAATGCATATATACCATTTTTCTTGCAAAATCCATGCTTTTAATTTGATATATTGCATTTGCATATTATGAAACTATATTCCATGTATAGTCTTGTGGGATTTGAAACCAGAACTGGAAGTTGCTTCTTTCGATATAAATAATATCAATCTAAAGCAATGGATTTGTCATATAACTTGCATCATTACAATAAAATGCTCCGCAGGGCGCAGCTTGATACGACCGCAGAGGTCGAACCCTGAACAGTTGGGGCAAGTATGGACACAACATTCAAGCTTGATACAGCTTTGCATTTGGATTGTGATTAAATATTTGACACAGCATAGGTTTCTGACACAGAATGAATGTGGTCTAAGAACTTAAAAATTTTAAATTGGACATTCACCTATTATGGTCCAATATCCAAAATCTAAATACATGGTTAGATTCAGCATATCAAAGAACCCCAATAATTCAATTTTTGATGAAATCAAACAAAAGTTTAATTTTGGACCCCGATTTGGAACAACTTGAAAACTGGGCCCATAATCAAAAATCTAAATACATGTTTAGATTCAGCATATCAAAGAACCCCAATAATTCAATTTTTGATGAAATCAAACAAAGTTTAATTTTGGACCCTTTGGACCTCAATGTGGACCAATTTAAAAACGGGGCCCAAAATCCAAAAACTAAATACACGGTTAGATTCAGCATATTAAAGAACCCCAAGAATTCAAGAATAAAACCCCATTGAAATTAGTCAAGAAATAAGCAATTTATATGAAGTATCTTCTTTTGCACAATACTGTGCAATTAAATATTTCTTGCTATTGCGCAATACTGTACAATTGACAATTTCTTGCTATTGCGCAATATTGTGCTATTGGATATTTCTTGCTATTGCGCAATACTGTGCAATTGAAGATTTCTTGCTATTGCGCAATACTGTGCAATTGAAGATTTCTTGCTATTGTGCAATACTGTGCAATGAAAATTTCTTGCTATTGCACAATACTTATTATATAATAATTTACACATCCTGTTTGGTGTGTATCTCCTACCATATCATTATCATTTGCTTTTAAATATAAATCAGAAATAACCAACTTAAAATGGAAAATTTTAAAAGAAAAGAAAAAGGAAAAAAAAAAAATCCCCCCCCAAATTTTTTGAACCCCCTTATGATTCATCACCCCCAAACTCAATCTCAGCCTTCCCTTTGTGGTATGGTACCTTGCAGTACAATTTCAGAGAGATCCATACACTTGAACACAAGTTATTGTCTGGAAACTAGAAAAATGTGTTTTTTGGCCCCTTTTTGGCCCCAAATTCCTAAACATTTAGGGCAATTACCCCAAAACTCAAACCCAGCTTTCCCTTTGTGATATGGAACCTTGTAGTACAATTTCAGAAAGATCCATAGACTTACACACAAGTTATTGTCATGAAACTAGAAAAATGCTTGTTTTTTGCCCCTTTTTTGGCCCCTAATTCCTAAAATTTTGAGGCAATTACCCCCAAAATCAATCCCAGCATTCCTTTTGTGATATGGAACCTTGTGGTACAATGTCAGAGAGATCCATACACTAACACACAAGTTATGTCTGGAAGTTACAAAAATGCTTATTTTTGGCCTCTTTTTGGCCCCTAATTCCTTTACTGTTGGTAACATAACCCCCAAAATCAATTCCAACCTTCCTTTTGTGGTATTGAACCTTGTGGTAAAATTTCATAGAGATCCATTAACTTAAACTAAAGTTAGAGTGCGAAAACCAATGTGTCTTCGGACGACGACGATGACGCCAACGTCATACCAATATACGACCACAAAAATTTTTTAGCGGTCGTATAAAAATCAGCAAATATACAACATTAAGCAAACAGGGCCTTAGATGTAGTGGTTATCATGCACTCTCAGAATTATTTGTTTAACACTATCGACTGTGTCTTGAGTGAAAATCAACAATTACATCCTCCAAAAGCAAGGGGTTTCGGCTTCAATCTTAATATTGACTAGGATTGCCAGTTTTCTATAAACCATAAAAGTTTTGGCTCTATCAACTGCACTATTGCAATACTCTGTCTAAGCAATGCTATACTTTGGTAATTATTGGTTGTTTAGTGAAAGCTTCAAATGTTTGAAACATGCTCACACCGGGTATCCCAATCCGAAAATGCGGAGGGATTCGAAACCCGATGAGCAATAAATGAAAAATGTGTAAAGGTGGGTAAGTAAAAATGGATCCAATTAACATGGAAGAATAATGCTCCGTGGGAATCAGATCCAGATTTTACTTACCAACACTTTGCTCATCAATTAGTCCTCGGGATTTAGTTTCCTCCGCAGATTTGAATCGGGATACCTGGTGTGAGCATGTTTCAAACATTTGGAGCTTTCAGTAAATAACCAATAATTATCAAAGTATCGCTTTGCTTAGACAGAGTATTGCTATAGTGCAGTTGATAGAGCCAAAACTTTTAAAGTTTATAGCTCATAAAAAGTCAATAAATATGGAATATTCTCTGAACAACAATGGTGAAGTTTGCATAGGAATGTCCTGTAATACAACAAACTAAAGACATAATTAAAATACACCTGTTGAGATGCACAAGTATTTTAAAGCTTATGAAGTTCATATCTAAGTATATAAAAATAAGAAGATGTGGTATGATTGCCAATGGGACAACTATCCACTAGACCAAATGACGTCGGTTTAGTCTGAAAATAAATGTCATAACCATATACATCTTGCCCCTAGTAATATACAGTTTTGATAATTGGTCTAATTTCTCTAGTCTTTTTTTATGCAACTGATTGAGAAGATCAAAAGCTGACTAACACCAAAAGCTACAATATGCACTGAGATAACTGGAACCCCATCATCCATGATATTCTTCATATGAATGTTTTGTTGTATTTAATGTCAAAGCAAGCATCCGTCTGTAGACATAATAAATAATATTTTGATTATTTGTAAACCTGACTCATGTTTGGATAAATAACAATGACAATTCTTCACAAAGTATTTGAATTAGTTTAACAGTTAAAGCAGATGTATCAACCAATATGCAATTATAAACGGTACACCCTTCAATTTTTTTTTTGACAGAAGTCTGTCAAGTTCCTAATGAAAATGCACACAAAGATTTCTCTGTTAGGTCTACCTACATGAACCTAACACAAGTAACTGGGTCATCATGGTCATAGAAATGAATGTCATCATTTACAATTAATGTACAATTAAAACATTGAATATTATAATTGCAGTGTAATACAATGTATGGGAAAAAGAGTAGTATCTTATTTTCCTGGAATTAGGTTGGGTCTCAACATGGGATTTTGGGTACAGTTGTGCAGCTTGGATTTAAAAAACACCCCCCATTCATATATTGAATAATTGTGAAATCCCTACCTATTCATATATTTCACAGTGAAATCATAAACCATTCATATATTTATCAGCTCAAATAGTACCTATATGCAATTTTAATGATAATCAGTTTGGGAAATTCAGTGAACATCGTTGCACAACAAACTGAAAAATTATGACCCATTGATATATCACAATTGGTCAATTACTACCTATTGATATATTTCCTCGGTAAAACTGCACCCCATTGATATATTTGACTTATCAAAAAAGGGACCCATTCCAGCGGCACATATGTATATACCTTCATATAGGAAGAGACCCCCCATGTGTATATTGTGGATTCATTATTATTCAATGGATACTAATTTTGGTGGATTTCGTTGGTACAGGTGAACCACGAAATTAAATGTTCAATGAATGACAAATTTTCTATAGGCTTGTCTGCAAACTTTGGCAAAACCATGAAATTAAATATCCACGAATATGTAAGATTGCCTTAATCCACAAAAATTGGACCCATGAAAACAAATGAATCCACAGTATAAATAGTTGTATCATATGTATATAAAGAAATGACTGTCAATGAGACAACTATCCACTGAAGACAATAATTATGAGAATGTGATATACAGGGCATGTGAGGTCATAAACAGGCTGCTACACAATCTAACGTGAAGACTGCTGAATGTGCAAAAAAGTATACATTTCAAATCTGTGTTAAGTTCAAAATAATACAAAAAACTCTATTTCCAAAGTGAGTGCTAACACTAAAGTTATAAAGATGGATCAAGAAAGCAATATAAACATAGATCAATGCAGACTGTGGAAAATTTTGATTATCAATGATTGTAAACAGTTTGTGATCCATCATGACTGATGACAATAAGCTGATTTGTTCTGGTCCTCTTATTGTGTTTATTTAGACAGTATAATATATCAGTGTTTTGTGAAGAAATACAATGGATTTAATCTAAAGCTATTGACTGTTACAATACCCTAGATATATACAGCAATAAAATCAATAGCTGGATTCCAATAAATCTGGAAGAATGTTAGGGGCACCAGTCAGAAACAAAATCTATAAACAACACATTCCAGTAAATCACAGTCAATCCTTATTAAAGACCAGGTAGATACAAAATATAAACTGTACAGAAGTAAAGAACAGGAACCAAGAAAAAACAAAATCTATAACACATTCCAGTAAATCACAGTCAATCCTTGTAAAAGACCAA